TGATTAGTCAATTCTAAAATTGACGGGACTACGGGCTGTGACGCTACATATACATTTATATATACATATTATATATATATGTATATTTATGTATGTGTAAATATATATATATTTATATGTAGGTACATCACAATATAGCCTTGGTTTTCAAACTTCAATTGTTCATAACTTTTTTATTAACAACGAGCGACGGCGAAAATTTACGGATTGTTACTCAGGAAGGTGTCTTTGACAACATATGTCAAGCTCATTGAAATCGGAGGAGGGTGACCTTTTCTATATATTTACCATTTCTGCTAGTGGAGGAAATAGTGAAAAAGTAATTTTTTAAACATAAGTAAATTGATTAATTTTACAAAGCGAGCTGTGTTACGTCAAACAAACTATATTCAAAAGGAGACAACGTAAACTTTAAAGAAGAAAATTTTAAAGCCGTTAAAGTGGCAGTTAGGTTAGTGTTATTATAATTTAATAGTTTCTTCATATCTATAGTATCTTAATATAGTAAAATACTCATTGGTCATACATGTGTCATATACTTTTTTGACATTTTTATACATATTATACCTACATACGTGACACTTATTGAATATAAATCAGTATTAAACTGGACTATGGACGCAATTTTGATTCATAATTAATTACATGACTGTTGCAACTACCTACGTGGTATAATCAAGGACGGAATTAATTATGCGCAGACAACAATCGGTAAATATTCAGAAAAACAGAGCACCTTTGAAGGTCAATGAGTTTTTAACAAATTTTGTCATGGACTTTCCTGAACAACAATCTGCAACTTTAGCCGTCGCCCGTTGTTCGTTGAAAAAGTATAAACAAAAGAAATATCATAAATTAACTCTTACTTACACCGTGTACGGTTTGTTCGTGTTGTAAGCGTATAGGCAAAAGGGGCTGCGTCTCTCCGCAGCATCCCTTTCACGAAAAAATAAAGGCATATAACAACAATATCAATATGCACGGTTACACTCACTATACAGTAAATCACAAAGAAAATTTCGTAGATCTTCATACTAATTGTCAAACGCAAAACATCGAAAGATTTTGGAGAGATATGCGAAGTAATATTCCACGTTTCGGGACATCGGTAGAACATTAATTGTATTCTTAACTTGACACTTAATTGAATTCTTCATTTTTTCGTGTGGAGGGAGCAGGGGAAAAAGCCGTAGCTCCTTCTCCTGCGGTGGGGCACAGCCCCCCCTGCCTACACGCTTACAACACAAACAAAATGTACACGGTGTCGGAAAATAACAGTTTATCGACGCAACTTCTTTTGTTTATAATTTTTTAACAAACAACGAGCGACGGCTAAAAGTTGCAAATTGTTGTTCAGGAAGGTGTCCTTGACAACTTATGTTAAGGTCAGTGACCTCCAAAAGTGCTACGTTTTTCTGAATATTTACCCAACAATCTGGCTATATGCTTGATTTTTTTACTGATTGCGTAAAACCTAATCGTATAGTAATACGCAATTACATTAATTCTTTTCTTTAATAACATATTTATTAAAATCAATTTTTCTAATCTTTTTGTGCTTTCCTATCAGCTTGATTTGTATTTTAACTAAACAAATTAATATAAGTTTTTAATATAACACACACACTATAATTGCAATGTTTTTAACAAAACGATCTTGTATAATTTACCCGAAAAAGTTACCTTTTCACAAAAAATTAAAAAAAGCGCCAAGGACACGCGCAACTCGTATCTCTAAAAAGTATTATTATATTATTGTGCTACATAAAAACTCTTCCTCTACAAAATCTATTTTAGAAAAACAAATAACATCAATAAGCAGCGTTAAGTAAATTTTGCACATTTATACATTGTATTAAAATAAAATATTAGAAAACTATAAAATAGCTTTGCGTGGAAAGTCTTAAATTATGTCAAATTATACATCTAGAAACTTCGCTTTATGTAAAAAATCGAAAATTCCTATGGAATTATTTTCAAAATAAAAAATATTACATACAAGATAGAATACAAAAACACTTGTCGCGGCTGCACCGAAAGATATATTGAACTAAAATTCAGTTTGATATAATAACTACTCAATAGCTTTTTTTATTAAGCATATAATTATAAAGTATGTACTTTTTGAACTCTGTTTTGATAAAATAACATTATTTTTTTGACAAAAATCATCTAACGATAAGTCTCAAAAATATCAAAAATTACTTGAATGCTCTGTTGAATAATATGTAAATAATATATTATAATTATTGCTACACTTGAAGAGCTATGCTAATTGAGTTATTATGAAATTAAACTTCCATATGTGAAGTGAATAGCTCGCGTGTATGTGCTCTTTTCGGTGCAGCCGCGCCAAGGTGTTTTACATTAAATATGTTTTACTTTGAAATCAGTTCCATATGGATTTTTGATTTTTGGCCGCTTTTATATTATTTCAGTTTGTATTGTAACAATGTATACACATACAAGATTTCTTTGGCGCTACTTTCTGATATAATTCCTTTGTAGACTAGATTTTGTAGAGAAAATGTTTCTAGGTAGTATAATAATATAGTAATAATTTTTTCTAGAGTTACATGTGGCGCGTGTACTTGTGCCTATTTTTATCTTTTTTTTAAAAATTAAGAATGTCACTCTCCTTGTAAAATTTATTACAAATATTCATTTTGTGTATGTTTACTAAATTGCTTTAACTAACTTTACCGTTTAATTAAGTATTGTATATATATACATATTATTTTCTGAATTACATAAAATGTAAGTTTGAAAATGATGATTAGACTTGTTAACACGTTTATCTGGATTCTTCTCTTTTGAGAAAAAAATCCGTAGAAATCTGTTATCAATGATTCAATGTTTCTGAATTGCATCGTATTGTCTATAGTATCACGTGAGATGGAAATAGAATGATATAAAAATGTAGTTGTATACTATTATAATGAAGTAATTAATAATTATACATATTTTGGGTGGACAATTACTGCCAAGTGTATGCAAATCTAAATACTAGTAGTACTAATTTATTTACTTTAATTATATTATATACATTTCTTCAACAATAAAGAAAAAAATACATACTAATATGTGATTTTAAAGCGTTGACATGAGATGTATAAAAATACATCATGCTAAAACGTATAACATCATGCTAAAACGGCTCTTATGACCTTATTCATATTTTCTTAGTTCAAAATTATATATATAAAGTTTTTTTAATTGGCGTTATTACTGTGTTATTATTATAATATATATTATGTCTTTTGTAGAATATATATAAATTTTGTAGATACATTTGTAGTAGTTAGGGGAAAACTGGCATAAAAAAGCCAGGTTTTGAAAGAGCCATTTTCAATTATTCGGCAGTTTCTGAACAAATCTCACAAAAGTTTTAATTTTTTATATAGCAACACTAGACGTGTGTCATTTACAAACATTTGACAAATTATTCAAAATAAATAGCGCCTGTGCATCGCATTAAAGATTTTGTCATTGAAAAGTAAATTTTTGGGTTTTATTTCTTCGTTTTTTAACATTTTTGTGTAAAGAAATAATATAAAAATTATTATATTACGATTTTACATATGTATTTAGTCTTCTAAGTATGTAAATATTTCTCATTTATAGCGTTAATTTGATAGGGTATTTTGAGATTATAATTTTTAAGAGGAAAAGTTTCGAAAGAGCCGGCTACCAAACAATCAAAAAATCATCTTAATAAAGCATCTTGCTCTGACAGTGAATGTAACGATGATTTGTCTTCAGATTCTGACAAAATATTATCAAAAACAAAAAAAAAACTAGAAAAAGAATCTAATAATAATTGTATAATGTGCACTAAACGTTATAAAAAGAGTAAGCAAATATGGTTTCAGCGTAAACTTTATTCTGATTGGACATATAGAAAATGTAGGTAAAAAAAGATGCTAAATTATTTTTGTCTAAATTGCTACTAAAGATACCTAAGAAATTAAGTTTTTTTTTCAATTCTAAGTTTAAAAGTTGTTTTGAAAGTTTGATTAAAGTAAGAGTTACTTAGATTTAAGTAAAAAATATATAAATTTACGTTGATGGTTTTGTTAATATTGAAGAGATTGTTATGAAACTAGTTTTAGCATTTTGGTTAACAATTGTTTGTCACAATTATATTAATGTTTTGTTAACAATTGTATTAATGTCTATTAATAATTTCTTTATTATTTCGTTTATAAACAGTTAAAGATTCTTGTTATAAGAAGTCGCGGCTTTTTCATAACATTCGATGGCTCTTTCAATACCATTATGTTATGAAAGAGCCGAATTTTACTTTTCTTTTAAGTGAAAATATGTTTATTAAGATTGTTAGTTTTTTTTTGTTTATTAATTAACACAAAGAAATAAGTAAACTACACATTGAAACAACAAATATTAAGTTTGATTGCTTTTTAAATAGTTTTTTTGGCTCCATATTAAAACTGGCTCTTTCATGCCACTCTACCCCTATATATTACTTCTTTTGTAAAAAAGACTTTGTGGATATTTTGTAGTTTATTATAATGTATTTAGTATATTATAATTATAATAAAAACAAAAGTTTACTTTGTGTTATTTTTTGATATCACTTTTTTTGTAAACCCGATTTTGTAAAGAAATAATTGTTTGTAGGTTACAATACAGAGAAAAATAATTGTTTGTAGCATTAGATCAAGTTGTAATTTATTATTTGAAAACAATACGTGTATTGCGTATACTTGGCGCCTGTTTTTTTTTTTTTAAAAGTTTTCGAGATATCACACATTTTGTATTTTGTAATATTAGTGGAAAATTTTTTTCTCGCCGGCATTCCGTATATACCACTGCAGCGATAAAACAATACAAGTGTTTCACACAGTTGGTGTTTGGCTGGTAATCGAAAATTATTATATAAATGACTTATGTTACAAAGTTCAAATAATTTGCATTCATTACTTATACGACTGCAAAGTGTAACGAAAGTGAAACTCGCGGCAGTACGGATCCGTCTCTCAATTCGTAAATACTTCCTTTCAACTTTTAGATACTTCGAAAATTGTTTGTATATTGTGAACAGAAAATCACATAATGAGTGGTAGCAGTGTTTATGATTATCTTATGATTGACTTAGCAGGTAAATATTTCTCATTAATTGCTTCAATTTGTTTTTTTATATACATAGTACTCTCTAAATTTTTAATTTGCATATAAATGCTGATGCCTTTACTTTGGACACGTACTATGTAAAAAATTTTTCTAAGTTATATATTCTCAGAGGGTTGCTTGAAGTTATTAAAAATAAACAGTGCTCGGTGTCTTGATAAAAAATAAAATATGTAAGTGTGCGTACATAAGTTTTTATTCGCTCAAATCAATCAGTGTAAAGTAACTATTTGCTACAAAAATAATGAACACTCAGTTGGAAGTAATTTTTGACGGTATTTAACTATTTTTGGTGTTATAAAAAACGCGTCTTGACACAATGCTTTTTTAACAAAACTTTTTGTGCTACACATTTTTATTATAGAAGAATCGTGTTTGTATATTACCACAAAATGTGTAATATCTTAAAAAACTTATCTTTTCAAAAAAAGATACGAACAGGCACCAAGTACACACACAACACGCATTGTATTTAAATAAAAACTCTTCATTCAAACTGGTTTTTATTTATACAATTGAGATTAAAATGAAAGTGACTAGTTTGACGTTTTTGAAATATTGTTCCGTGGAAATCTCTTCTCTTCTCAAATATCTGAATTTCACGTATTTAGAGACACAGTGTGCTCCCATGTTCGAGCGTGATTTCGTTGCGCGTGAACTTTGCGCGAGGCACTGCCGTGTCTTGGCACTGTCTTTTGATATTTATTAAATTAGTATTTGTTTAGTATACAATTTAATGTATATATGTATATCAAAATGTTTAATCTTTACGAGTTAAATGCTCATTGAGACATTTGTACTATAACTTACAGTTTACGAGCTACATGCTGGGTGTTCGTGTAATTATATAAATATAGTTTAAAAAGATCTACTGGCCGAGATGTCTTTTTTGGAATAAAGGTTTTACTTTCCAAAAAAAGATGAAGTGAATATTTCACATATTCGTGATGCAAATATTATTTAAATTTTCGAATTTAATACTTTACTTCGAATGTTGATGTGTATTAAATTATACGATTTTGAGAAATTTTAAAACTTATTTATAATCTCACAAACACCTAATATGTAAATAAAAAGCGTAAGTCTTAGTTTGTTTAATGAGTGTTGCATACAAAAATTTGTTTTAAATTTTGTAATGCAATTTTATTTTTAGATCCGTTCACGCGTAATTGGGCGTTAGTAGAAACACCATTCCCAGCAATAATTATAACCTTTGCTTACTTGTATTTTGTACTTTACGCCGGACCAAGTTACATGAAGAATCGACAATCATTTAATTTGAGGATCTTTATATTATTTTATAACGTATTTCAAATTCTTGCTAATGCGTGGCTGGTGCACAGTTATATATCTTTTGGCTGGTTTACTACATATAGCCTAAAATGTAGTAATAATAATAATCTGACAAGTATAAATGGTTTTAAGGTATGTTTTTCTGTTAAGTAGTAATAAAATTATATTGCTGAACTACAAAACGTAACACATATTTGTCTGTAAAAACAATGTACTTTCTACATTTCTTATTCACACTTTAAACATGTAATAATTAATATTTTTCAAATTTGTGCATTTCAGCTAATAACTATTACATGGTGGCTATTCATATTAAAACTAAGTGATTATATCGAAACGTGTATATTTGTTTTACGGAAAAAACAGAACCAAGTGTCTTCTTTGCATGTATATCATCATGTGTCTAATGTCTTATTTGGATGGTATTTCCTTAAATATATAGCGGACCCCAAAGCAACTTTTGTGTGCTTAGTTAATTGTTTTATACATGTTATTATGTATATATATTACTTCATTGCAGCATGGAGCACAACTATGCAACAAAAAGTATCTGTTTTTAAACCATATATTACGAAATTACAAATGGTAAGTTCTACATTATATATAAGTTTGTAAAGTATGTGTATATTACGCATGTATCATATAAAACAAAGTTCGTACATTATATTTTACAAATGAACTTCATACACCATAATAGTGTTACGAACTGTTCACTTAATTAGACGAATTTAATTAATTATAACTTCCTATAATAAATGTATACACAACAACAATATATTTTGAAAGTATAATCTTTAGATAATATAAAGTATTTGTATAATATATCATTATAAAAAAAAAAAAAAAAAATGTGTTATTATTAATATAGTTTCTATTCTCAACATTATAGACGCAGTTTGTTGCGCTGATATGCTATGGACTACAGGCTTTTCTAGATCCAGAATGCAAAGGACTACAACGAGAAAAAGAAATTGTATTCGTATTCCTTTTGAATTTGCTACTATTTCTATACTTATTTTATGACTTTTATAAAAAGTCATATGGCACAAAACAGAAACAGAAAACTGCAAAACACGAAGAATAAAATTTATGTATAATATGTATAATTATAGTCACAGACCAATCACGTGAATCTTTATTATTCGTTATCTGATTTTGTACTTTGGTTTTGGGTTTAGTATTAAATTTGTATTTTATTTCGTTCGTAATTTTCAGTTTCCGTTTGTTATAGTTAGTTTTCTTTTGTTTTTTTGTGAGTATTATTGATCTTGTGATATTTTCTGTGATATATTTTGTCTTTTTAATAGTTTGTGAAGGTGCTCTTAGAGATATCCAGAGTGTGTAAGAAATATTTTATTCATAGAATAAAAGCAATAAAGTATATGGAATCTTTTTATTGTCGATTTCTTTATATCTTCCGATAACTGTTCTCTACATAAAGATATACAAAAAAATATACATCATTTTTTAGATAAAGTTATCGAGAACTTATCTGCAAGTGGAAAAATTAAGTCTTATTCGTACGTAATATAATACAACAAATTAGTTACCTAGCCAAGAATTCTACATGCGTCAAATAAATTTTGTGGTAGGCGATATATTGGTTTTTCTAGAATATCACACGATCTTATTGGTATTCACGCGATTCCGAATTTGAATTCGACAAATAACAACGGCAAACGACGATCTCTAAATATTTGTGTATTTCTTCATCCTAATTAACCGGCAACCGACACGACCTTGACAATCTTTCCGACGTTGATCACATGCACGAAAGCATAAAATCAAACACTTAGGTTTTTGTAGAACTGTTTTCGCCAGCGTTTAGTCACAATGATTTACTTTGCTTGTTTCAACACAGATTATCCGACTTAATCAAACGACACGACGATGACAACGATAAAAAACGGCACGAGAGCAACCTTCCGGCGTCCACATGGTACGCCGTTCCACAGGAAAGTGCCACGCCTCAATCAAGCGGCGGAAAATCAGTTGTTGTTGTCTTTTTGTGAATACTCCAGAATATTCTTAATCCATGTAATTGCAAGAGTACCACGCAGAGATGCCAGTTCGCGGATTCTTGCAGCATTCAGCAGCAGGTGAAAAAAAAGAAGAGAAGTGTAATATATGATGAGAGAGAGAGAGAGCAAGAGAGAAAGATTGATAGATAGCTTTTATTTTTAACGCGCCCTGGGACAAGTCCTTTCAAGCGCTATTAACAAAATATACATATGAAATTGACATTAGAAAATAAATAACGAACAATATAGCAGTAAGTATATATAAAAATATTTAAATGTAGAGTATATAATAACATAGAGTATATATAATATAGAATATAATAATATAAAAGTAAAAAGAGAAAAATGAATAACAGGTAAACTAGAAATCAATAAGAAATAGGCACATTCAGAGTATGATCAAATATCAACTCTCGGACAAAATAAGGTAATCATATAGCTTTTGTCTGAAAGTTTTAAATTCATTTGCATTGCGAATGTCCACCGGAATACTGTCCTAAAGGTCAATCGAAACGCACCTGAAAGACCGCCTGAAGAGCTCAGTTCGGGAAATAGGAAGAATAAGATGGTCGTCAAGAGCACGTGTACTGCGCTGGATTGAGTTCCTAAATTCATATGATCCGAGTAGGAATTCAGGTCGTTTGTTCTCGAGAAGCTTGCGTAGTTGACAGCCAATAAAAAACAATTTTCTTGATTTGATGTTTAGCCAGTTTAATCTTTTAAAATACGGCGTAATATGCTCAAACCACTTAGCCTGGAAAATAAACTTGACACTGTTGTTAAATGCTCTCTGTAGGCGTAAATTGTCCTCTTCAGTAATATTAGTCATCAAGGTGCAGCAATAATCTATATACGGGCAGATAAGAACGGAGACCAATCTTTCACGTAGCTTAGGAGTAAGAAGATGTTTGTATGTTTTGAGACGATGTAATGAAGCATTGATGCGCGAAATAACATTTGAAACCTGTAGATCCCAAGACATAGTAGAAGACAAGGTCACTCCTAGGTATGTGACGGAGTTTTTAAACGGAACAGCCACACCGTTAACTTTGATTTGCGGCAGGAAATGCAAATCAATACTGCGGACAAATCTTGTCGTACCCATGATTATGGCAGAAGTTTTGTCAGCATTTAGTGTGAGACCGTTCAAAGTAGCCCAGCTTGCGACGTTCTGTATATCAACATTTACTTTAGTAATTGCTTCTTTAAGTGAATCAGGCTCAGCATGAGTGTAAATTAGTAAATTGTCAGCGTAAAAATTGTGTTTGCAGTATTGTAGAGATTTTTCAAAATCGGTGACATATAAAATATATAGAAGTGGCCCTGAAGAACGGATCCCTGAGGAACTCCTTTAGACAGCGATCGCCTTGTCGACGTAAAGCCAGTAGATGAGTCACGTACAGCTTGATTTCTTCCGTAAAGATAGGAGCAAATCCAACGAAGCGTCGAGCTCGAAAAATTCATTAATCTCAGTTTTTCAATTAGTCGATTGTATATGACATTGTCGAACGCCTTAGTGAAATCAAAGAACACTGAAATGGTGACCTTACGCATGTCAGCAGCCTGTCGAACATCGTCCAGAACACAAATCAAAGCAGTTTGAGTTGAATGATTCTTCCGATACGCATTCTGAAAAGAGTCCAGCAATTTTCGTGACTCCAAATACTCTATCATTTGCTCCGCAACTATGTGGTCAAGCATCTTAGAAAGTATATTAATGATAGAGATTGGTCTGAAGTGTTTAAGTTCAGAAGGCCATCTGGTCTTAGGGATGGGGCAGACAATTGCAGACTTCCATGCTGCCGGAAATACGCCGCTGATTAAGCTATAGTTGAAAATATGTGTGATAATCGGCAGAGTGCGCTGCAAAACCAGTCCTATGAGATCGAGCGATATTCCATCGTCTCCAACTGCTTTGGATGTTATGCGAGAAAAGGCATTTCTAATATTAGAACTCTCGATATTGGACCAGTAGAATTTAGATTCTTCATAAGACAGTTCTCCGAGATAGACCTGTTCTGCAACTTCCGCATCATCCGTTTGAATATGCGATATGAAGAAATCATTTAACTCATCGACCAAGAATGGTAGGATCCTATCGTTTGAACGCGATTTGATGAGGCCTAGCTGGCGTAGTTTTCTCCAAGTTTCATAAGGTTTTTTAAGATCATAAAAAGTTTTAAGATAGTATCTTTTCTTAGCCGCACGCACCCTCTTCCTGACAACGTTCCTGATCAGTTTATAGGAGTTGTAATTGGCTTCCGTTCGATGACGTCTCCATCTTCTGCGCAAAGTGTCCCCTTCAATTATTTGAGCTTTGATGTCCGGTGTGATCCACGGTGCAAAGACTCGCTTTGGATGAATGGTTTTAAGAGGTGCGTGTTTGTCATAACAAAGTAGTAAATTGCTATTTAATAGTGACACCTTTTTGTCTATGTCATCTGCTTGCAACACTGCATTCCAGTCAAGACTGGCCAGGTCTTCGTAAAAATTATCAGCATTAAATGTACTATAATCTCTGATGGTTATAGTCTTAGCAGTGCAACGCGTAACTGTTATGTTGTATTTAATTTCAATTAAGTCGTGAGCAGAGAGAAAGTCCATACCCCGCTGGTTAAAAGAAATCAGTTTGTCACTATCGTCCACCATACATAAGTCAAGCAAAGTAGAAGATGTTGCAGTGTGATGAGTCGGCTCAAATGGTACTAAATGCATCGCGGAAGTCGAAACAAAGCTTTTAACGAGATCAGAGTCGTAAGAGATATGTGTGAGGTCTGCATTGAAATCACCGAAGATAATGTAATGCTTATAAGATGTCGAGATGCCGATAAATGTATTGAAGAAACTTATTCAAGTAACCGCAATGAAGTGGTCGATAGTTCACAGCGAGCACAAATTTGTCATTGGTAGTGGAAATCTCAGCAATCATAAATTCTGGTTTTCGCGAATAGTTGCAGCTAGATGTTGCCAATATTTTGGCACTAAGTGAGTCTGCCACATAAAAAGCCACTCCTCCACCCATCATGCCTACTCTGTCACATCTAAATATGATATCCAGGTAGAGAAACCATTTGATCCGGGATGGAAGGTTTCAGCCATGTTTCTGAAATACAGATAATATGATACGATGATCTAACAAAAAATATTCTAAATTCATCGAGATGTGCGAGCAAGAACTGGCAGTTTACATGGCAGGCTCGCAGTTGCGACTCAGTAGTATTATTTATAATTAATCCTGCCTATTTTGTCTCGAAACCTCTTCAAAAGTATCGGACAATTTTTTCCATCCAGCGCAGAGTGTGTAGACTCTTTATGCAACCATCTTTTACAATTTCCGCATTTGGCGGTTCTTTCTCTTTTAGAACAATGTTTTGTCTCATGCTCTTCTGCACAGTGACCACACAGTGCTGAACCTTTACAGTTTTTGGCTAGATGTCCAAAAGCAAGGCATTTAAAACACTGAAGAACCCGCACATAGTCCTCAAATACACAAGATGCGTAATTACTGTAGAGATGTGGCTCTCGACGCAGAAACATTCGTATATCAGGCGATACTTCAATAACACAGCTAGTTGTAGATCGATTAGTCCTTGGAGGAAAAATGTGTATCACATCGACTTTAGGTGAATCAAACGTGCTTAGATTGAGTGCAATTATTTCCGACCTTATATCCTCCTTTGTAAATCCATTAGGCACTCCACGAATAATTAATCTAGGATTCAGCTTAGAGACCTTCTCGACACTGAGCCCAGCCTTTGCAAGCTCATCCGAGTCCTTGATTTTAGGCAGATCAACGGAGACTGCCTCAATACGTACACCGTTGTTACGAGCCGGTGTGATCCTGTTAACCTTAAGATTAAACCTGGAAGGCTTAAAAGGGTACTGGATACCGACTATAGCGACCTGTAAACCGACGTTCTTAAATCAGATTCTGTGTCGTATTTACTGCATCAAATCCAAAATGCTTCTCCAGAAATAAGTAAATTGTGCTAAGAATTGGCTGGTGTGCTTTAGAATGTCAAAATTCAGCACAAATTTTTTCTTAGACAGTTTTCTTCTATAACCTCACCATATATTCATGTATGTAGAATTATTTTTAAGCTTATGTACGTATTTGTACTGAATTACCGCCAAACATACGACAAAAACAAATCAAATGAGCTATTCAAATTATGATTTGACTATCTCATTGATAAGAGAAATCTGAGTTCGTGATGATGTGTATTTGATACCATATACTATCATTATGAATAAAAAACAAGTTCAAAAAAGCATTATATACCCATTTTCAAAAGCTTCCCTTACGAAAAAGAATTACTGGCAGTGATATATTGCGGCAGTGGTAC